TGTGCGCCCCGTCATCGTTGACCAAATAATTTCTCCATAGGCCGAGGACATTTCAATAAACACGGCAAAATGATTTGCTTCAGTCACTGAAGGCAATGTAAACACACACACACAGGCGTACACTGAAATATGATTGTAAAAGGGATTTTCGGCCGGGAAACACAATTGACAGTCCAAGCCAGCTTTACTTTTTAAGTACTTTTGTCATTTAAATGCAAACAAGCGCTGTCAAAAAAGTATATTATGGGAATTTTATTTACACAAAAGAAAGCACCAGTTTTGTTTTTTTGTTTTCGTTTGATAGAAATATGAGTAAAGCTATGAAAGATATAAAATAGTTGAAAATAAAAATGAATCGAGCTTAATGTCTTTACTGTGACAAGCAGTCTAATTAGACTGCTGCAAAAGACTGATGCAAAAGTTGGAATATTGAATAATTAGCAGCAATTACCGGGAGCGAAGTTGAATTAGCACCATGTGCTCTTCCCTTTAAAGCTCTAAAATGAGGAATAATTAGAAGAGGCGATTATGCTAATGTAGGACATTAATTAAAATGATCGATCGCACGAGACTTACCAACGCTGGAGTTTAGGCAGGCGGGAAGCTAAAGCTTTATTAGCATTGCCTCTATTTTCGCCAATGGGAATGCCGAATGCTTTTGTGGCCAATGATGGAATACCCGAGCTGGCTGCAAAGTTCAATTTGCCTTTTGGAGCAGACAAATTGGTAGGGATTTGTCTACTCTTCGAGATGCCAGTTTTATCTTGAGTCTAGCATAAGAAAAAGTACGGGGTAATTACATTTCAATTTACAGCAACACACACATCTGAGCAAATGAGCTTTTACCTTTTCCTTTGCATAACTGACAGAAAAAGGCTTGCGAATGTGTGAAAGTTGTGAATGGCAGAGGTTTTCGTTCTTTGAGAGGAGTGAAGGTATTTTGCTGATGCTTCTCATATTTGCCTCATCATCAAAGATTAACTTTTTAGAAGTGCTCTCAGTAAGCTTGGTGTTGGAGATCAAATTCACACTTCGATTAACAGCTGCCAACGGAGAACGAAGCCTGGCAATGCTCGTTGGAACGGGAAGAAAGGTTCGTGGCTTTTTCAGTTTGCCCTCCGAGTACTTGAATTCTGATGGAATTTCACGTTTCTTTCCACTTTGACATTCTGATTGTGCTGCCTTTTTCTCCGAAGTCTTCAAATCAGTACTGCCACACTCAGAATCGGAATCAGAGTTGCTGAGTAAATTCTCAGGTATTTCATCTTCCAAAATGTTGCTACAGACTTCTACAAAAAGGAAATGCTGTATTAATATAAAATTAAAACTTAATCAACATTCATGCTGACCAATTGTGGCAGAATTCACAAAGTCAATTTTCATCTCCAAGTTTGGCACAGAAATGTCCAACAAATTCTTCTGCTTTCCAACTGGTTCGCTTAATGTCGGGAGAGGAGTCACTACAGTGCTTGCTTCTACTACCACCTGGTCACAAACTGTGCTGTCAGCATTTGTTGAATCGACTTTTTCCTGCTGATTGTTTTCAAAAACTTCTTTCGATTCAATTTTTGAAGTAATCTCATCAAAGGAGCTTTTCAGTGCTAGAAGTAATACAATTTTGTAACTCGATACATAAATAAAAAAAATTACTTACAAATAGAAACTTCGATTAAATTCTCTTCTTCCATTGGAACGCTCGGCTCGCTATTACCGGCAATCATGCAACCATCTAATACAAAGAATGTAATATAAAGTGATTAGAAAAAGATGAGTAAAACTATGAACTCACCATTTGAAAGAGACGGAAAGTGAGACATTTGGTCTTCAAATGTTGAAAGTGAAGCATCCATCAAGTTATCAATGGTTCCGGCTAGCGCACTTGAATGATTCAGATTCGTTGTGCTCGATATATTAATCAGGTCACATTTTTCAACAAAGGAACAATCCTTTGCTTCTTGATGAGTTTCCACAAACAACTTCTTTGTAGATTCTTCTGCAACATTAGTGCTAGAGATAGCTGCGCCATCAAATGTAGTTCCGATTGTTGAAAACGACGCATCCATCAAGTTATCAATTGCTCCAGCTAGCGCACTTGAATGATTCAGGTTCGTTTTGTGCGATATATTAATCAGGTCACAATTATCAACCAAGGAGCATTCTTTTGCTTCTTGGTGAGTTTCCTCAAACACCTTCGTAGATTCTTCTCCAGCATCAGTGCCTGAGATAGCTGAGCCACCAAATGTAGCTCCGACTGTTGAAATCGAAGCATCCATCATGTTATCAAAGGCACCAGGTAAAGAGGTTCGTTCATCATGATTTGTTTTAAGTGATGCATCATGTAGTTCAGGCAATTTCTCTTCTGAGCTTTTACCAATATCAGAAACTTCAGCCTCCCTTACAGTTGTTTCAACGGCTAAAATAAATACAAGTTAGCTTTTGAGCTTCAAATTAAAAATACTCACTATTTTCCAGCGCAGTTTTCTCGCTTTTTTCTTGCAAAGTGTTTTGAAGATCAATTTTACCAAGAAGTGATTGAAGAAGAATGTTGACACAGCTTTCATTTTCATTGTAGCAAGTGGAGTTTAAAACTTTTTCAGAATTGTTAAGCACATTTAAAGATAGATCTGATGATGATAGTTCAAACTTGCTTTCATCAAATGATGAAGATGATTTGTTGTTGTCGGTTTGCTGGTTTTCAGTTTCAAATGCACTTACGCACTCTTCAACAGTTTGTTTACTATTTTCTTCTTCCATTGTATCGATTGGCTCGCTGCTTTCGGCGATCGTGCAAGTATCTAATGCAAAAAATGTAATAAAAAGTGATTAAAAAAGAAAAGTAACACTATGAACTCACCATTTGAAAGAGGCGGAAAATAAGACATTTTATCTTCAAATGTCGACAGTGAAGCATCCATCAAGTTATCAATGGCTCCAGCTGGCGCAATTGAATGATTCATGTTCATTTTGTGCGATATATTAATCAAGGGAAAATTATCCACCACGAAACAATTTTTTGCTTCTTGATGAACTTCCCCAAACACCTTCTTTGTAGATTCTTCAGCGACATTGGTGCCTGAGACAGCTGCGCCATCAAATGTAGCTCCAACTGTTGAAAGCGAAGCATTCATCAGGTCATCAATGTTTCCGGCTAGCACATTTGAATGATTCAGGTGCGTTTTGTGTGATATATTAATTAAGGGACAATTATCCATCAGAGAACAATCCTCTGCTTTTTGGTGAGTTTCCTTAAACACCTTCGTAGATTCTTCTCTAGCATCAGTGCCTGAGATAGCTGAGCCACCAAATGTAGCTCCGACTGTTGAAAGCGAAGCATCCATCAAGTTATCAAAAGTATCAGGTAAAGAGATTCGTTCATCATGATTTGTTTTAAGTGATGCATCATGTAGTTCAGACGATTTCTCTTTCGAGCTTTCAGAAACTTCAGCCTGATCTACAACTGTTTCAACTGCTAAAAATAAATTATAAGTTAGCTTTTGAGCTTCAAATTAAAAATACTTACATTTCTTGCTTATTTCTCGCAAAGTATTTTGAGGATCAATTTTACCAAGAAGTGATTGAAGAAGGATGTTTATACAACCTTCATTTTCATTGTAGCAAGTGGAGTTTAAAACTCTTCTAGAATTGTTGAGCACACTTAAAGATAGATCTGATGATGATAGATCAAACTTGCTTTCATCAAATGATGATGATTCGTTGTGGTCGTTTTGCTGGTTTTCGGTTTCAAATGCACTTACGCACTCTCCAACAATTTCTTTACTATTCTCTTCTTCCATTGGAACGCTGTACAGCACATTACCGGTAATCATGCAATTATCTAAAGTAAAAAGTACAAGAGAATGATGAAAATTAAATTGAAAAACCACAATTCGCAAACAACTCACCATTTGAAGGAGGCGGAAAGTGAGACATTTCGTTTTCAAATGTCGAAGTTGAAACGTCCATCAAGTTATCAATGGCTCCAGCTAACTCACTTGAATGATTCATGTTTGTTTTGTGCGATAAATTAATCAGGTCACAATTATCAACCACAGAACACGCCTTTGCTTCTTGGTGAGTTTCCTCAAACATCTTTGTAGACTCTTCTCCAGCATCAGTGCTTGAGATAGCTGAACCACCAAATGTAGCTCCAGCTGTTGAAATCGAAACATCCATCAGGTTATCGAAAGTACCAAGTAAAGAAGATTGTTCATTGTGATTTGTTTTAAGTGATGCATGATGTAGTTCAGGCAACTTCTCTTCTGAGCTTTCACCAATTTCAGAAACATTAGCCTCGATGACAGCTGTTTCAGTGGCTAAAATAAATATAAGTTATCTTTTGAACTTCAAAAACAAAAATACTTACATTTCTCGCTAATATCTGGCAAAGTGTTTTGAGGATCAATTTTGCCAAGAAGTGATTCAAGAAGGATGTTGATACAGCCTTCATTTTCATTGTAGAAAGTTGAGTTTAAAACTTTTCCAGAATTGTTGAGCACATTTAAAGATAGCTCTGATGATGATAATTCAAACTTGCTTTCATCAAATGATGAAGATGATTCCTTATTTTCGATTAGCTGCTCTTTGGTTTTTAGTGCGCTTGAAGACTCTTCAACAGTTTGTTTAAAACTATCCACAGCTTCGTGCAGAAACTGATACTCAAATGGCTTTATCTCTCCGGAGAAGACGAGATCTTCTTCAAAGTTGAATCCCGAATCGTCCATGGCCTCACTATAAACATCACTCATTTTAAAAACCGTAAACTAAAATACTCGCTTGACAGCAAAGTTGTGCAAAAGTGACCGTTGACAAATATTCAAAATATTGTTTTCAAACGGTTTTGAAACAGTTGCGCCATCTAAACTTCAAGTTTGCAACAAATGAACGTTTTATGTGAATGGCTCTTCACATGCTTTGATTTGTTTTCAAAATTGTTGTCAGATGTTTCTTTTTGAAAATCTGTGGTTTTTTGAGTTTCAAGTTAAAGATCTACTTTTATGATAATGACTGAAGATAATGAAAATCAAAGCGGGGATGCGGCACAACAGTGCGGACGAAGTTGGACGGTCAGCATTGCCGTTCCATCCTCAATAGTAGACAATGCCCAATCGCCTGAACTGAGGTCTTATTTGGTTGGTCAAATTGCGCGTTGTTTGGTCATCTATAACATTGATGAAATAGTGGTCTACGATGAACACTGCATTCCAGGGTTTGTATTTGAAGCAGATAGTAGCATTTATTTTGTTTTTGCTAATATCCACTATCTTAATTCACAGCACACCTGAGCAAGTTTTGCTAGACAAACGGAAACAGACCATGGTGCAAATGGCCCGAATTCTTGAGTACTTAGAGTGCCCTCAGTATCTGCGACGATTCTTGTTTCCAATTCAAAAACATCTTCAGTATGCTGGCCTGCTTAATCCACTAGAGTCGACGCATCATTTAAAACAGCAGGATGAATCGCTATACCGTGAAGGAGTTGTTCTCAATAAGCCGCACAAAAATGGATCCTTTGTCAATATTGGCCTACGATATGATGCGCATGTTGACCGAAGTTTACAACCCAATGTCAGAGTCACCGTGAAACTCACAAAGACAGACAATCCAAAGAAAATTCAAGGCGTCGTTGTGTCGCCTTCTGAGCCTAGAGAAAAAATGGGCCTTTACTGGGGATACTCCATTCGAATGGCCAACTCGTTGGGTGAAGTGTTAAACAGCTGTCCATTTGAAGGTGGATACGACCTAAAGATAGGCACCTCAGACAGAGGAGACATTGTCGACAAAGTCGTCAAAAGTATGCCTCGTAACTATTCGCATTTGCTGGTAGTTTTTGGCGGTCTTCGCGGTATTGAGGCGGCTCATGAATCAGACGAATCACTTAGTTTTGTCGAAGATACAAAGGATCTTTTTGATCACTACATTAACACCTGCCCGAATCAAGGCTCAGACACCATTCGAACTGAAGTGAGTACTTTATTTAACTTATTGACATTTGTCGTTAACTGTACTTTTTCTCACCATCCTTTAGGAGGCCATCCTGATAACACTTTCTTCACTTAGAAAACGATTGTTGAGTCGTAAAAAATAAGTTCGAGTTTCAGAACTTTATAAAAAACTGTTTTTTTGCCATTTTGTAGTTCGATGTTTTACATGCACTTTCACAATATGTTTTACTCAAGTTGAGTGTGTCGATTTCCCCTAGTGAACAGCAGCTGTCATCAACTCATGCTTGATTTGTCTGTTTAATTAAGAAGTACTCTAACGCGTAAGAACAGTGTCAACATTGAGAAAAGTCACGTTTCAAGTTGCCTGACGATCAAGTGTACACCAGTGTTCTCACTTTCCGGTTTGATGGCCGACACGAGGGCTTCGGTCAGCGATACGACAGATGCCCCTGATGCCAATGATACGACAGATGCCAATGATACGACAGATGCCAGTGATTCCAGTGCTGATTCGGCTGCTGATGAAGTGTCGACAGTGGTAGTACTGGCCATAAAGTCGCGCCGCATCGGCCATCTAAGTGCGGGCGCCAAGCGCATCCTCGGCTATCTGTCAGCCTGGCAATTATCGTTAATTGCCTGTAATCTGTTACTGGTGGTCAGCAGTGGTGCCATGCACACTCGGCCACACTTGGTACTGCCTGGCCGGCACTTCTACTGTCTCTACTGGCACTTCACCTTGGCACTTGCTCTCTGGGATGGCTTCTCAGTGGCCGTACTGGTCCGAAGACGACCGGACAACCTCAACACGATCACACTGCTCAGCACCAGTGGCCTCCTTCTGATTCTAATGGACGTCTTTATTCTCTGTCAACTGCTGCTGCCGCCGCCGCTTGGACACTATCATTCCTCGGGTACAAAGACCAAGAGCGAGAATATTAGTGGTAAGTCCCGAGAAGACGAGGAAGGCACAAACACAAATATTGAGAGTGTCACTGTCAGCTCCATTTGCAGCAGTGCACTTTATCTTCTCTCTCACACACACACATCCGCCGTCGAGAATAACACACACAGCCAGCCAGTCAGTTTTCACCACCGACTGTGCCGTCTTGGGGTGATGCGTGTGACTGACTCAATTAAGATCGATTCGGTGGTGATGATTGCCAGCCACTGCTGGTGATGTTGCTGCTGTTGATGGTGTGTTGAGGCCAGTGTTGATTGCGAGCCACTGCTTTTACCCCCTTCTTACAGGCGAGCACCATCTCGCGTCCCCTCCACTCGCCACGCGGCCATTTAATTAAGAGTTGCACTTTACAGCTTAGGCGCAGACAGCGCTTGAAACAATCACTTTCTCACTGTTGGCGCCATGGGATGCTGCTGCTGATGGTGATGATGATGGTGATGATGATGCTGTGAGAGACGTCGCAACATGGACAGCCTAGCTTCAGTTTAATTTTCAGTATTAGCAGCAGCAGCTGCAACCCGTCTACTACACACTACTACAACACACTGCAGAGCATAATTAAATTGGCGCCGTTTTGGGCGCACTAACGAACCATAAGATTGGCTTACACTTGTCACATTATCCTCTGGGCAATCGTCGATGATTGTTGCGTCAGTTGACGTTCTCTACAGCTGAGACTGCCAGACATTCTAAATGTGCACCCACACTTACTGCCGCAAATTACTTCTTCTGCACTCTTCCTTCTCTGTCCATCTCTGCCCATCTTACCAGAGACCCAGTCTCATGATAATTACTGGACAGACAGTAATTCCCTGGCGCACTGCTGCTGCCACTGATCAGCACGATCATTGGCTGACGCCTCAAAGGGCCAACTATAGCATCAGCAGCATTTCTATCCCCTTTTCTTGCCCCTTCTCTTCCACTGCCACTGTCCGAAACCAATGTCCACCTAATCACATTGTTCTCACCGTGAACAGTGTCTACACAGTGTCTTTTGTCCAGCCATCATCTTTGCATTTCTGCCCCCCCCTTCTATGGGTGCACTAATTTGCTTATCACAGCAAAGCATGAATCGACTTTCTTTTCTCTTCTTCTTTCCTTTCTTTCTTCTTTCCAGGTTATTTGACGCCGATACTGGAGCACTCGGAAGTGCAGCACCACTGTCTGCTGGCCGTTTCTCGCATTGTTTGCTTTCTCCTGTGGATCCACTTTGCCAACGGGCAGTTGAGGCAGAGCCAGTGGACGTATCTGCAGCGGCTGCAGACAGAGGTCCAAGCAGACGTGGCCGACTTGCTGCAAATCTTTAGTGAGTTTGCCTGAGGGCTGATGTCGGTACAAGTGGGGACATCATCGCCGCCACCATCACCACCATTCCCATTCTACTCATCTGGGTGGTGAGCCAAGTGTCAATCCGTTTATTCACTGGAGAGTTGACAGTAAATGCTGCCTGACAGCTTCGATATTTATTACAAATTACAACATGGTCGTCCAATGTCTGTTCACACACTCACAACTGGACTGACTGCCCAATGTTCGGTATGTTCTCTTATCACACTGGCCGTTGCTGCTGATGCTCTTTCTCCTGTCGGAGCTAACTGCCCAGAGGCGGCTCCTTTGCAGGCGATGCTGCTGTTGCTGCTGTTGCTGTTGCTGTTGCTGTTGCACTGGCTCTGGTGCTGATGGTGGTCCTTGTGCCAATCAGCGTCCAATTTAATCTGCAGTGTCGTCTGGCGCAGTGCTGTGCAGTGCTGGTGGTGGTGATGGTGTGACAGTGCGGGAACATGTTGCATTATTGATATCCATCACCGGTGTCCATAAATAATTGACTGCACACATCTCTCGGTGGCCAGCAGAGTGGCCAGACTGTCCTCTTCTGTCCTGTCGCCATTCATCTTTCTGACTGCCATCATCTTTTTTCTTTTTGCTTCTTGTGTCTTCTTACTGCTGTCACAGTGTGTGTGCAGTGCTTTCGGCCCATTCACTTTGCCATTGTTGTCTGCTGTTTGTTTGTTTGTTTGTTTATTTGTTTGTTTGCTTAGCAGGCTTGACCAGTGAAAGTGTGTGTGTCAGGGTAAGTCAATGGCCAATAAGGGCAATGGGCACACTGGACACACACACAAGATCGGTAAGTAGTCTTGGTGGCCTTTGCACAAGGCAGTAGCACACACTTTTCACTCCACCATTTTCGCCTCATCTCTTTCGGCCGCAGAGAATGCGACGGAATCCATTTCGAAAATCCGGACTAGAGAAAGGAAGAGAATGGGAAGTAAAAAAGGGAAAGGATGGAAGAAAAAGGAAAAGAAGAAAGAAGAAAAAAGTAAGTAAATAGAGTAAGAAAAGCAATGTAACAAAATAATAATGCCAACGAGAGAGATTGTGCTGACTCGGACAAAAATGCCTGCACTCCGAAAGCTATCAAATTGAATTATGGCTGCATTAACTGTCCCCACATATGAATGGCGAAAAGTGAATTATTTACTGGATGACAGCTAAACGGCTATTTGATGGCCGCCACTACTGGCCCACTTCCTCTTTCTTTTCGCAGTCATGTGCAGCCTTGTCGCTCACTTCTGCAGAAGTCTGATGTGAATCTTTCTGGCAATTCAGGTGCATTTTTGCTTACCTAAAGATGGTGTAGATAATCGGGTTCAGGAGGGAGTTGATATACTGCAATGGTAGTGGTGGTGGTGGTGGTGGTGGTGGTGGGGAAAATTCTCAAGCAGTTAGAAAGATGGTAAATAAAAGGCAAAGTGAAAAAGAGAAATACCCCAAGCCACTGGAAGATGCTGAAGACGAACATACTGGGCGAACAGGCCTCGCACAGTGGCATCAGCAGAGCGGTGATGAAAAAGGGAAGCCAGCAGATGACGAAGATGCCTGGTGGGGAGAGGGGAGGGCAGAAAGAGGACAAAATCAAGTTAAGCACACTGTTTATCCAATTACCAAGGCATCTCCACATTCAGTAGGGCCACTGTTTTTTTGCCAGCAAATGTCGTTAGTCTGCTTACACACACACACACGTTAGCGGGACATCTAATTAATAGATCATTAATATCATTTTGATTGATTTATGGACGTCATCAGGGAGGAGGAGAAGCTGAGACGGCGCCAGGCTCAGCTACGGCATTTTTCCCCTGGTAGCAACTTTGTCTGCATTGCAACGTGTACGACTTCTTTCTCACGTACGCTACCCGAAATAGCTGCCCTGCTGCTTATCCGCATTTGCTGCCTATTAACCGCCTGCCTATTTGACCAGAAATAGCTGACACACTGTGCAAATGAGTGTGTGTGTGGTTATTTTCCGCACTGTTTCACTTGCTGTCTGTCCCGCGCTGTCCTCTGATTACAATTTCATTGCTCCTGACACTGCTAGTGCTTCGCTTTCAGTTTCGTCTCATTTTCTTCCTTTGGTTTCTTCTTTGGGCGCATTCATTCATTCTTTCTGATTCAATTAGGCTCTCTCTCTCTCTTTCTCTCTCTTTTCTCCATTCTGTTTAGGCTAATGTCGATAATAAATTAATAACGATAGCTGCGCTCAAGTTTCGATGATCTATTAATTGGAAGAGAAGAGGAGGAGGAGGGACTGACTGCATCGATATGATGATAAGAGTGAAAAAGTAGAAAAAGGAGAAGCGAAAAATTGGCAAAGGTTGGCAGAATTTGAGCTGACGGCTGATGGACGGAATGAAAAGGGTGAGTGGATTGGTCCAACCAGAGGAAGTCAGTCAACTGCAGACTCAAATAGAAAGAGCAAGAGTTCCCACTAATTGACATCACTCGGTGGTGAGGAGACCAATTTAGATGACATACTCAGTTGACACGATGACCACAATGGCCACAGCAACGACAGCAACTCTACAACTTAATCTGTCAGCTATCTAAGCTCAGTCAGAGCATACACACAGCCACCAACATTAATCGGCAATGTAAATTGGCCTCACCACCAACTTTTGTTTGCATTGCCCAGCATTGTGCTAAGTTGGCCATTGTCGCTGACTGCCTTCACTGGTTGACCAGCAGTGCTGACTGTCTCTCT